GACTAATATTGGTCTTAAACGAATCGTTGAATCGTTTTGAAGCTGTTCGGGGTCTATGCTTGTATAATGCTATGTAACGTAAAGGTGGCAAGGCTTTGATAGGTCCTTGGCCCACACCTCACTAAGGAAAGGTTCCAGGTCTTCACTCCGTCGTTCAGCCCATTGGGAAGAAAAAGGCTTGGATGGCTTGAAGGACCTCTCTGTTGAGCAGCCATGGGGGTTGCATCTCTCTTTGGCTGCCAACCCAGGCTGCGGCCAACCAACCAAAGAACCTTCAAATTCAAATGATATGTGGCAGCTGGTTCGTGTTTTCTTTCAATCATTTTTCCTTCACTAGGCTCAAAGCCTGAGACGAAGGAATCCCAAGGCCCAAGGACCGAGCACGAGCAGAAGGAATCTAAGAAGAAGGAATCTCCACCCTCAGATGGGGAAGAATCTGGTTCAGATAGTAGTGACATTGAAATTCTTGACCCGGATCAAGAAAATGCTGCTGGCTCCCACCTCGCAAAGTTGCGGAAGCAAGCCGGTCTTCCGGAAATGCCGGAAGATTCATTGCCATCTGGGTTGGCAAACAAGATCATGTGTTCTGCCTTAACTAGCGCATGGTTTTGCATTTTCCCACCAATGCATCCCACATCATCCCACCAAAACGCCACCCCCCGACCGAGGGCATGCCTGACCAAGCGATCTACAAAACTATCTGACCTGCTGAAAAAGTTCGAGGATGTTGAGGACAAAAAGGCACTTGATGTCCCGCAGACGAGGTCCGTAAACCAACAAATGGTTAGTTTGCTTTCCAATCATGTGTTGACTGGCCCATTTGCCAGCCTCATCCTATGCGCAGCGAAGCCCAGGCTGAAGGCGAAGGTCGATGATGCGATCAAGAGCCTCAACAAGATACATGAGCAAATCCTCTCTCAGTATACCGATGGTCTTGTAGACGGTTTCACCAAGAAGCGCCATAGTTTAATTAGATGTTTTTTCATTCTATAGAATGTTTCAACAAGAAGTGCCATAGAACGCCATAGATTAATTGGATTTTGTCCCTGTAGAAGATTTCAACAAGAAGCGCCATAGATGAATTGTTTGATTTTGTCCATGGCTCACCAACGGCCAAGCATTCCAAGTCATTCAGGTGTGAAGAGTCTTTGAAATCCCAGTTCATTGACGCTCAACGCCAGCTGACAGCTTAGCTCACTAAATCTCTGTACACTGTCCACGCTTGGAGCTTTTCTGACAACCCTATGTTTGTTTGCTTTTTGGGGGTGGCCAAGGGCCATTGAGTACGTGAGCTTGGAAAGTCGTGCCAGGCAGGGTGTTCAGCAAACCCCCTCATCACCTCTTCTAGTGTTTTGGGATCCCTTGCCAATTCACAACCTGCCTGCAGACAAGTGTTGCCGAAGGGCAGCGGCAGCGCCAAGAAGAAGCAAAAGCGTGAATCTAGGCGGGAGCAGAGAGGCAAGGCAAAAGGAGCCCCCAAGAGAGGTGCCAAAGCCAAAGCCAAAGCCAAGCAAGAGCCTCCACCTTCGCCAAAACGTGCGAGGAAGTGATCTATCCTTTAGATCTGTGTGTTTTGGGCTGTGTGCTTTCACACAGCTGCTTTTGACTGTCTAGAAATTAAGTTGCCGAATGGCATGGGGGAATGACTTCCGGTGTCAAAGTGACAAGTGAAGCGAGGGTCTAACAAAAAGGTTAAACACATAGGATGCAAGAGTTGATCGGACCAAGACGTTGATCTGTTAATCTTTTTGAATTTGGAGGTGTTGTGTGGCAAACTTTCTGCAGAATGCACAGGACACGTACTGACACCAGTCACAACTAGAGCCCACAATAGAGCATGCCAACCCTGCTCTGGCCAGGTGCCCGCTACCACCATGGACCCCTGGTGGAAACATTTGCTGAAGCTATATCTGATGGGGTCTGGAACTTGGGTCAGCCTAGGGGGAACTCCTTGTCGTCGCGTTCATGTCCTGAGGTTCCTGCTGCCTTGGTGGACACCATGGCCGCAAGCGCGGCCCATGAGGCGGCAGGTTTGACGTACAAGTGCCCAGGAACAGACAAAAACAGAACAACTACAAAGAATTCTTCCCGGACTGTCCGGAGAATGCTGAAGCGCTTAGGGATGAACTGGAACATTCCAATCACGACAGCTCAGTTCCCAGTCAATGGCGCTGATGACTTGGAAGTTCACTACATTGATCCCATTGATTTGTTTGGGTACTTGCTTGACCGGGAGCCTGCCATTCTCTTCGGGGGAATGGAAGATGTTCAGAAACAGGGCAACCTTTTGAAATCATGGTGGTCTGCATTTCGTGACTACCAACCTGCACATGCTGTATTCCAAACTCATGGCGATGCTCTGGCTTCAACCATACCTTGTTCTCTCTACGGAGACGAGGGTAAAGGCAGACGAAGAGGAAACACAGCTGTGTGTTCCATAGAAGTTCCATTCGGTCTGCATTCTGCCCTTTTGGAAGGAAAGGATGAGCATGCGCTAGACTGCAGCAGCTGTTCTCCTGGGATACACCGTGAAGTGAGAAATATTGGTGGCTATGCTGCTGCAAGCATGAAGGAGCACAGCTTCTTGACCCGTTTTTTTGCTGTGGATTCAGCCTTGCGTCAACTACAAGGCCCATGACGGTCTCATCAAGTGGCTCCTGGCGCGCATTGGTGCGTCTTTGCGACAGCTGTTCTTTGAGGGCTTGACTGTTCGTGGTCGGTGCTACACATTTGCTCTTGTTGCCATGAAGGGCGACCAAAAATGGCATATTTCCATTGCGTCCCTCACAAGGCATTTTGGGACTCGAGGCCGGAAGCGAAGTTTACAGATGTGCTACGAGTGTGAGGCCGGTCGTCGAGATGCTCCGTATGAGGACATCAACAGAACGGCTGCCTGGACACAAACGCTCTACAGATCCCGTCCTTGGGACCAGCCTCCTCCACTGTTGGTGGTGCCTTTTGAGCCTGAAGATGGGCGCCAGGAATTCCTGTATAAACGGGACATTTTCCACATCGTGAAGCTGGGGCTGCTCAGACATTGGGTCGCTTCGACATTAGTGAGTCTCATCCAATGGGGCTGTGCCTTTACAGTTGAAGGCGAGCCAAATGCAGTGGGATACCAGCTTGAACGTGCGCATGCTTTTTTTAAGATGTGGTGCCTGGCGTTCAAGAAGTCTGCAGCGTTGCGGAGCTTTTCCCGGAACCTTTTCAACTGGCCAAATGCGAAAACGGCCCCGTGGGCCAATGTCAAAGCCTCAGATTGTGTCTTGTTGGCCGGCTGGCTCTGCTCTGTGCTTCCGGCTTATGCTTCACAGGAGACTGGAGAAAAGCAAGAGCTCCTGACGTTGATGTGTCAGACTGGCCAGCATGCGCTGGATTTCTACGGTAGGTTGGTGAAGCATCACCTACTGATGCCTCGTTCTTGTGTGGCCGCCTCTCTTCACTCTGGACTATCTTTTCTGAAAGGGTACACCCGCCTGGCGTATTGTAACATGCGGCAGCCTTTTGCTGCGTGGGCCATGGTGCCCAAAGTTCACTCATTCAGGCACTGCCTGCATGAGTATGAGCTCTTTCTTGCCGACCCTACCAAAGAGTTTTTTATCAATCCACTTTGCTGGGCTTGTGAAACAGGGGAGGACCTGATTGGCCGAGTGTGCAGATTGGCTACAACATTAGATTCCCGATACGTTACGCTTCGATGCTTGGAATTCTATTTGGTGAAGTGCAGGATTTTGTGGAACCGTGCATCGTGCAGGATCCTGCGATGAGCGGACCAAAGCTTTCTGAAAACATATTGAGCCAGTGCTGCTGCCACACTTGCCGGCAACTCTTCAACTCACCCACTGTCATCCTTGGAAAGCACAAGGAATCAGACTTCAACCTTATCTGGGTTTTGGCTTTCCCCTAGGCCCAAGCAATTCTGCATCCAAGAGCCAGAGACCTTCCAATCTCTGCTATAGTCAGGGTGTGTAATCTGAAACGCTTGTTTTCAAGTGAAACGACAGTTTTCTCTGGAAACCGCAAACATTTGTGCAGTTTGACGAAACGATAGAAATTTGTTCCTAGCGGAGGTCTTAGGTATAGTCGACACAAAGGTCCTGCGTGTCCAATATGCAATGAGTCAACATGGGAATTTATAGGTCCTCTCAAGGATGGGCATGGATTTAGTTCTGTAACCAACTTCCCTGCCCTATCTTGGGCAAACACGCCTGCTGGAACAGCAAATCAAAGTCCCAAAACTCGTCCTTCTGCATGAATCCAGGTGAAACCTGAGGTCACATGTCCTCGCCTTGGCTGCTTTGGCCATACCCCAGCTCTCAGATCTTTTCACATACTTCCATCTTCAACGCCTTGCTCCCTCGCTTCGCGCTGAGCGTCCCGACCCCATCCAGGCCAAAACACACCGCCGAGGCACCTGGCGACGAAGCGTCCGTCACGTCCGTCAAATCGGAACGGGCAGGCCGGGGCCGGAACATAGAACGGACACGGTGCCATTTCTGTTTGTTGGAGATTCTGGTGATATGCTATACCTAGCTATAGATCTTACATGACCTTATTGTGGGAAAAATACATCTGAAACACCAGCCCAAAGGCACAATTGTTGCGCAACAGGGGGTGATCTTGCATGTAATGTCTTCGTCGGAGTCTTTAGCAGTTGAACCCTCCTCAAAGTCGCTGGAATTCGCTCGGATGGTCAGCATTGAAAATGCTCTTTTCACAGTCCAAAGTGGTCCGATGGCGAAGAGGGTTGCTACCAAGTGACTTGTTGTATAGGACACCGACATACACCGACCATGTCCAGTAATTCGCGGACTCAATCACCATTCTTGAGGCGTTTCCAGAGGTGTAGTCCATATAGAACTAACGCCAAGAACGTGAAGAAATATCTCATGACTCATGACTGATCGGGGCTTCGCCTAGCCGCCCGTCCCAAGCCTACCATCCAGTCCCCGCCTTCGAACATGGCACCAAAGGACCTCAACAGACGACGGACAACGGGACCAGCCAGCAGTTCAGCCAGCAGTTCTCTCTGTCCAACCAAACCCGTTGCACATCGGATCTCCCACGGACGCCCACGGATTGGCCTTTTTGGAGCAACGGTGGGAGCGAGCTGAACCCCAAATAGTGAGGTGCACCAAATGACAGCCCGAGGTGCCCGAAGGACCCAGGTTGAGCCAACCACTTGAGAAGGACAACGCATGACAAACTTTGAGAACCTGATCTTCTCAGCATGCTCTCTCAGATGTCGTGCAACATGATGCGGACCAAAACAGATCAAAAGAGTCTATGAGTCTTCTTGTCTCTTCTGGATGTCTTCCAGTTACACATGCTCAGCAATATTCAACTTATACCAAGGGGCATTGACTGTTCCGTCACTTTTGGGGTTTCCTCTAATTTGACGTGGAAGCTACAAAACTGATCTAGCCACTCGGACTCCCAAACTTGGAGTTGAACAAAACACACCCGTGGGACTCGACTCAGGCGTTGACTCGACTCAGTTTTTAGAGGAACTTCTGGTCGTTCACTGGTCCCTCTTTCTCACTTCACAACATCACCCTGCTGAAAAGGAACGTTAAAACAAAACAAACACATGACACACACACACACACATTGAAGAAACAAAAAGAAGCGATGCTTTCTCCCACCGGGTCCCATGGTGCTTCCTTCCTCTTTCCCATCGTCCGAGCCACGTCAAGGAGCCCCAGAGCGCGCCATAGGCGGCCGCCGTGGCCGCAGCGCGGCCTGGCACCGCCATGCAGAGGTGCCGGAAGACGTTGGCCACTGAGCCACTGAGGTTTTTAGGCCGGACACTGACAGCAAGGTCTTGATGGGGCCAGGCGAACAACGTGTTCAATCTAAGCAGGTCCGGTCTGGTCCAGTGCTTGAAAAGGTTCAAGCTTGGTGGTTTTCCACAAAAAGTAAACGCAGTTTGTCGGAGTTCCTCTGGAAGCAAGCTGACTTTGTGCGGAAAAAGAACACACACACACTGATCAAAAATTACATTGATAAGCTCCTAACACTCCTTGGTATGTCATTGACACAGCTACATTTGCCACGTGCCGTCATTCCTAGAGCGAGACGGTGGCGGTGGTGGCAGAGCGAGACTAAGGATGTCTGAAGTTTCAGAGATCTGGGGACATTTACAGTATAACCCAGATATGCCGATCAGTTGGGGTGGTGCCAGGGGGGTCAATGTAGGCACATATTCCATACATGGAGTGTATGGGTAATAAATCCCCAAACCATGGAAACATCATCCACTTAGGTCGCTGGATGAAACAGCACACCGTCACCGTCGGTCACTGCTTCTTCTCTTTAGTCACACCACGCGTCACTGGGTCGATCGGATCGTGCTTCTCAGCGGGCTCGAGTCGACGTCGTCTTGCCACTTCAATTAACAACATGCCAAAAAAAACATCTAGATGAATGAGCCAATGAAAAGAACCCATCGGCAGACTCGCCAGCATGGAGTTCTTCGCAGTTCTTCCAGAAACCTCCCTCCTCCGCAAGGATGCCTGTGTGAAGGCTGCCCAAGGTGTAGCTACTGGGATAGCCGGAGCCTCCACGTTCACACGACGTGTGGCGAACGGGTCGGGTTCGGGATTCGCACCACCGAGGCTCTGGGGGCCGGGGAGTGTTGCAAATGCCAAACACGCCTTCAAAGACTTAATGGTTGACCTGGTGCAGTGTAACAATCCTTATAACACTGATCTTTTTTGTAAAGACAATTGAACAAATGGTGGTTCGAATGGTATCTATTTGGTACTAGAGGTTGAAGGGTGACCTGGTGACCTTTCAACTTTGAGAGCAGGTCTGACGGAAGTCTTGACTTGCTTCCCAGTTGTCTTGCGAAAAACCACCCACCTTACCACCCAGTCAGAGCGGACCCAGTCAGATTTGCAGTGGGAACGAGTTCCCAGCCCCCATTGTTGACTGAACTCTTATACCCGGACCCCACTCATGTATTGCCCCGAAAACCACAGCCGTTCCAACGAACCAAAAACCGGATCCTCGATGGGCCTCTGGACATTTCCTGCAACTTGGTCGAGCTACCGGTCTTCCCATCAGACCTTTGAGCTACCTCCCGATCAAAAAGGAAGAACATCAGTCGTACCTTCGTTTGGGTTCGGTGGGACTGGGGCCCGGGTGCCATCTTTGGGTCCAGTCATACCGAACCGAAACGGAGGGCACGACTGGAGCCCCTGGGGCGCTTGCGGGCGCTTGCATGCAAGCTCATGGGGCGCTTGCTCCGTGTCCCCTGAACAAGAACCTCTCGAAGACCCCTGCTTGAAAACGCTGCCACGGTCGCCCCGTTTTTTGGTCGCTGCCGGTCACGACATTTGATCCGGATCCGCGTGGGCCCAGAAACCCGCGCCTGGCAGGTTCGAGAGTGGCGAGTCACAGGCAGTCTGGGTGTGGTTGGCTTTAGAGTCGAGGCCCGGATCACTTGGTGTTGAGTCCCAGGGCTGGCCTCTGCCAGCGCAGCAAACTCCGAAAGCTTTCGCATCTTTGGATCACTTGGTGTCTTTCTTCTGAGCTTTCAGCGTCAACTGGTTGCGCCACTGTTCCAAAAACAAAGCGTCCAGTTGGCCCAACCACTCGATATGTGGCCATGGAGTAGGTAGTGACTTTGGGCGTGGGAACACAGCTCGTTTTCATGCGAAGCCAAGTGGGTGCTGCGCAAAGTCAAGGTAGTTTCTTCCCAGAAAACAACTTCTCCAAGTGCCCACAGCTAGGGTTACCTTCGCAGAATGAGATGAACCCAGGATGTTTGTTCCGTCCGAAGCAACCCTGAAACAACAAATTTGGCAAATTCGCACACAACAAACACTTTTGTTATCTTCTCTTTGTGGAATACGCTTGTAGATCACTCAAGTCAACATCTTCCTGCATCAACCAGTCAGGCGGGCCGTTTGTCCAGTGCTTGTTCTGTCAATGCGTCAACGACGACTTAGCAAGACTATAGTATTCTGTCGATTTGACCAATTTCCACACCGTTCTGGCACTTCCACTTCCACCTGCAAAACATGTCCTCTTTACATGAATGAAGAACTGTGGCTAGCCGATGGCAAAACAGCTTCGCCTCCTGCAAGACATCAAAACACACACACACACACACAATGGTCCATAAGTTGGGCCTGGTCATGGCATCCCAAACTCCTATACATTCCTCTATATCAAGTAAGAGATATCAACCGAAACCATGGCGGTGAGGTGCCATGTTTGTAGGGTGATTTGCCATGACCCATGACGCTCATGGCTTAGCTCGAGAAGAGCTCGAGCTATGTACCAACCTCATCAACCCACAAACCACGGGAGCTGCGTGCCTATGATGCAGTAGCCCAGGATTAGCATGGTGCCCTTCAACCAATTGGCCTGGCAGTAACGACGTGACAAGGTTTTGCGAGATCCGGGTCGTGAAGGAGGGTGCAGGATGGATAGCATCTGACGCCGAGTTCCAATCACATCCGGGGGGATACAACATCCATGAGGACTCATACGGGACTGCCAGATATGCCGATCAGATCCGATCAGTTGGGATGGTGGTGGTTGGGGTGGTCAATGGCATATATCATCATATATCTTCCAGTCCCATTGGAGTGTATGGGGTCTAGGTTGACCTCTCCAGCAGGTCTATTCTGTCATATTCTGTCGGTCCTCGTGTGCGATGAGGCCTCCTGTGGGTGATTTCAGGCAAGAACTTGAAAGGGAGGCTCTCCAAAAGGGCCGCCCACACCCTCTTCTCGTGCTGAAACTGCACAAGGTCAACCAACCAACCAACCAACCGACCAACCAAGCAAACAACAGTGCAAGCGACCAACCATGAGTCGCTCCTTCGACCAAACGTCGCTCTCGTCATGTCCCGTCGCTTTCACTCGCCTTCCCGTCCATCAAGATGATGGCAATGCTCACGGAGGTTAAAAGCATGGTGGACGTCTCGAAGATGTGGAAGTTCATGGTCATCCTAGGTCATCCTAACCGACTGAACCCGGCGATGTTACTTCCGAACGTCCGTGGGGCATTGGTCACGACGGACCGGAAGTCCCATTTAAGGATATCAGGATATCTTTCATGGTGTTTTTTTTGGGACAAAAAAGTCAGGGTCGGAAGGAAAGTATACGTGTTCCTTCCTGCTAAAAACATGTCGGAAAAAGACAGAATCTTGCAGTCTACAGCTGTCTCACCCATGGACTTACAGGACATGTCTTCCATCCCACACCGAAAACATGGGGGTCATTCTGGTCTTATGAAACTGCTTCATCAACAGTAGCCGTGCAGAAAACACGAAAGTGGAGAGACGGAGTCGCTCTCATCTTTCTCGAATCCCTTACAGCTGGGTGACGGAGCGAGATGGAAGTCGCATGCGGCTACCCGCCCCGTCTGGGTGGGCACCCCCAGACTCGCATTCGCAGCTGTGCAGGTACATTCGCGCCTCCAACATCCGGTCTTCTCTGGGTAGCTTTGCCATCTATAGAGGTCACAGAGTCAATTTTGGACTGTCAGCAAGTGACGTTCCAAGCCCCAATCAGCCATCATCGAAATATCGAATCTCTGCTTGAACAGTAGAAACATGACCACATATATGACCACCACGACGCCACACCCCCTGTGTATGTTCTCTTTGATTTAGCAAAGTGGCCCTCTAAGCAGGACAAAACCAACAAAAACATGTCCACCGTTCAGCCGTCCGCAGTTCGGGCACTCTAAGTATAAGGTCCTCCAACCCATGGACCCCCCTAAATCACACCCCATGAACAAAACCGGCTCAGAGGCTTCCACACCACCGAATCGCCCGTTCCGCCGTCCGCCGTGTGGTCCAAACGGGATCCATCGGCACCAACGCTCCAAGCGTCGGCTTGTCCATCATCCACCCGATCACCACCTCGGCCGGACACGGGGAGCCCCGGCAGATCGGCAGCCGATCGGACGTCGTCGGCCCACGGCGGTCCCTTTTTGGTGGAGCATCGGGGGGGTGATCACACTTGGTTCAAAACAACTCTGCGGTGAAGCCGAATGATAGATCTAGCATTAAAGGGGGTTGGAGAACCTCCTACCCCCGTAGCTAAATATCGCGACCCCGCTCCCGAGCTATGGTTCAAGCTGAATTCAGAAACGGATCAGTTCCTGGAGTGCTAAGTATACGTAGGTCAGTTCCTGAAAAAAACCTTCGATCCATCTGCTCCCAAGTGTCCCCTTAAGTGTCCCAGGGTGATGTCTACATCCGGCGACATGTGGATCTCGGATCCTCGGAACCTCCACCATGTGAACTGCATGTCAAAGACTCACCAGGGAGGACGGAACGAAGCCGTAGAAGGACACACGTCGACTTGAACATACTTGAAACATGATCCACACTGAGAAGGGGAAGAGAATCTTACAATATCTGATGAAGGATATAATACCCTACACCTCCAGTCGTGCCTCCGTTTCTGTTCGGTATGACTGGACCCGACACTGGCACCCAGCCCAGTCCCACTGAACCCAAACGAAGGTACGACTGGAGGTTCAGGGAGGTTGATGTTCTTCCCAAAAACGACACCTGCAAAATCCACATGCAAAAGCCACAAACGCGCCCGGTCACCGGAGGTGGAGTTCTAATTCGTTCGATGAAACACCCCTCGGCTGAGAAGAGGTTTTACCATCCATGTCGCCACCCATGGTTCCCTCGGTTCCTGCGGTTCGGACCGGGGATCCGCACGCAGAGCGGAATCACAAAGACCTCAGCCGTGGAGGGTTGGTATGATTTCTGCTTTTGAACTATCCTCTCTCCTGACAAAATATAGTCTCCAACCTCAATGCAATGGCCTCCAACCTGATTGCGATGGCCTCCAATCTAATTGCGATGGCCTCCAACCTAATAGCCATGGCCTCCATGATATGCCAAACATGATGTAGACTAATAGTATTATAGGCCCTATATGCACACATTGACATATATTGCGGTGTGTGTCGGTAGGCCAATGCCAAAGAAATCTGCAGCTATCCTTGCCGAAAGGGGATTCCAGAAATCTATCATGGGTTCTGGTAGGTTCTGGCCTCTGGCCCTCTGCTCAGAGTTCAGCAGTAGAGTGGGTGCCAGGAGCAAGCGGCGATATGACCACAGGGCGACACAAAGTCCTTAGAACATTGCAACATATAGTGTTTGATCACTCAAGTTCGCTGTAGGCGGCCTTAAAAAACACACTGAACAGTTGCAAGTAAGCCGTGAACCACAAAAACTGCTACCAACATCAATATCATGAAATCATCAACTTGATATACAAATTCGTTGTGGAAAAGGCGACACCGATGCCTCTCGTAGCCCATTGCAACATATACTTCCCAGTGACCTTTTGAGATCCCAGAATGAGGTCACTTAGGCCTTGAAAAGGTCACTTACCAATCCTGAAGAAGTCACTGGGAAGGTCCTGGTTTACCCGTATATATATATAAGTGTATAATGATATATACTATAAACTCAAAGCAGTGAAGTTAGAACATGTTACAAACCAACTAAAGTCGGTTAAAAACACCATAGTGCAGTGCTGCATTAAGAATGACGCTCAAAGAGGTGACGTGA